TGTGCAGGGACAGCGGGATTGTGTCACCGCCCTGCTGCTGGCAGGTGAGAGTGTCACCGGGGTGTCCCCAGGGTGACTGGGATGGGTGGCACTGTGTAGGGACACCGGGACTGTGTATGGCCCTGCTGCTGGCGGGTGAGAGTGTCCCCAGGGTGTCCCTGGGGTGTCCCCAGGGTGTCTGGGGACAGAGTGTCACTGTGCTCTGTGTCACTGCTCTGCTGCTGGCGGGTGAAAGTGTCCCCAGGTCTCTGTGGGGTGTCCAGGAGGGATGACCCCTCTGCTCGGGGTGGGACATGGTGGTGACATGGTGGTGACATGACGATGACATGGTGGTGACATGGCGGTGACATAGTGGTGATATGGCAGTGACATGGCGGTGATATGGTGGTGATGGTTCCCCGCTGCTCGGGGTGGACACAGTGCTGTCACTCTTTGCCGCTCGGGGTGGACACAGCGGTGACATGGCAGTGACATGGTGGTGACATGGCGGTGACATGGCGGTGACGGTCCCCGCTGCTCGGGATGGGACATTGCGGTGACATGGTGGTGACACTCCCCCCTGTTTGGGGTGGAACCCGTTCCTGACTCTCCCCACTGCTCTGGTTGGGACATGGCAGTGACATGACAGTGACATGGCGGTGACATGATGGTGACGCTCCCCGCTGCTCGGGATGGGACACAGAGCTGACATGGCAGTGACACGGCGGTGACATGGTGGTGACTCTCCTCACTGCTCGGGATGCGACATGGCAGTGACATGGAGGTGACATGGCAGTGACATGGAGGTGACGGTCCCCACTGCTTGGGATGGGACATTGCGGTGGCATGGCGGTGACATGGTGGTGACACTCCCCCCTGCTTGGGCTGGAACCCGTTGCTGACTCTCCCCACTGCTCTGGGTGGGACATGATGGTGACATGACGGTGACATGGCCGTGACATGGCGGTGACATGGCGGTGACAAGGCGGTGACATGGCAGTGACATGGTGGTGACATGGAGGTGACGGTCCCCGCTGCTCGGGATGGGACATTGCGGTGACATGGCGGTGACACTCCCCCCTGTTTGGGGTGGAACCCGTTCCTGACTCTCCCCACTGCTCTGGTTGGGACATCGCCGTGACATGGCGGTGACATGGTGGTGACATGGCGGTGACAAGGCAGTGACATGGTGGTGACATGACGGTGACATGGTGCTGTCACTCCCCCCTGTTCAGGGTGGAACCCATTTCTGACTCTCCCCTTTTCTCCAGGAGCCGACCTCCAAGCCGTGGACGCCGTCAAGGGCAAGACAGCYCGGGAATGGGCGACCTTCACCGGCCGCTTCGACACCACCGTGCGCATCCGCAGCCTCCTGCGCCGCCCCCGCGCCGAGCAATTCGCCGCCCACTAYCAGCCCGAGTGGCCAGCGCTGGCCSARCTGGTGGCCAAAGCCCTGATCCCCAAATCCAGGAGCAAGCGGCTGTCGGAAAAAATCCGAGCCATGTTCACCTTCAACTTCCCCCGCAACCCCGAGGAGGACGGCGTGATGGACCACATGGTGAGGATGACCACGTCCCTCGCTAGCCCCTTTGTGGCCACMGCTTGCCAAACCGTGTGCCCGGATAGCCCGCCCGAGGTGGGCAAACGGAGGCTGTCGGTGCCGGAGATTCTCGGCCAGCACGTTCCCGATCCCGAAATCTCTTCACGCCCCAGCACCGGAGCGTTGTCCTGCAATGGTCAAGCCGTGTCCGAGCTCCGGCCACCTCCACCGCCACGCCGGCCACCAAACCGCTTTCTGAGCTTCCTCCCGTTGTGGCTGCGGGGTGGCAACAGCGTTTTTCCCGGGGAGCCCGTCCCTAAAATCAAAGTGAGCAAAGCCACGGGCGCGGCCAACGGCGAGAGGAAACCGCGGGTGAAGGACAAGGAGCTGCTGCAGCCGCCGCAGTGGAGGTACAAAGCGCTCAAGGAGGAGAAGAGAGCGGCCGAGGAGGCTCAGGGCAAGGAGAAAAAGAAAAAAAAGAAGAAAAAGAAAAAGAAAGGTTAAAGGGTTAAAGATGGGGTTGTTGCTGTCTCCCATCGGGTCTGGTTTTTAAGCTGATTTTTTTTTTTCACGGTGGGGTGGGGGTGTCCAAGGGAGGAGGGGGATGGGGGTGTTTGAACCCGGCTGAGATATCCCCGAGGGTTCCCAGGATCCTGCCCGGCCTCTGGTCCTCTCCACCCCAAGGGTGGCCACCCTGTACTGGTCATACTGGACATTTCTGTGCTGAGACCCCGCACTGAGCCCCAGCAACGCCAAGGGAGCAGGACTGTGGCACG